CTCTCTGGCCGAGCGCGAGCGATGCAGAAGTGCAGGTTCTACTCCACCGCCAGATCGCGTCTCCACTCGATTTCCGGCGACCCTCATCGTTTCTCGGCGATCCTCATTAGCCAAGGTGAGTCCAAAAAACCTTCTTGTTATGCTTTAGATAATAAAATGGACAAAACCGAATTTGAATGAGCCATTTGAGATGAAATTAAGCAATTTAGGTTTGTCAATTGATAAAAAATTTTGTTTAGTTAAGAATTGCCAACCATATTTTGTAGATATTGATCTCAAAAATCAACTTTACAGGAAGCATTCTTTATTTTCAGTTATTACTATTGTTTTGGACCTCAGGCCTGCGCCCGTCCGCCACCGTGCCTGTGCGACTGGTGCATGTTTCCGTTTGACCGAAAGTGCTAAATAGGCAGAATTTGCACTCAAAACCCGTAGAGTATGACTATATTATTAAATTTGCAATCGACATTGATTGATATTCAAACGTATTGTTTGACTTGAATTTATAATTAGGCTTAGAAAAGTATGACGACTGCAAAAATTAGTAATTAAAGGATATTAGCCTTAACATTAATAATTCAAGGAGATTAGCTAAATAATTTACATGAATAAATACCAAGAATGAATTAGTTATACAAAAGTAGGGATGTTCAAAGATAGGAAATGCGTATCTCCTTATGGATCTTTTGTTATTAAGCCTTTCAATATATTAAGTTAATAGTAATTCTTTAGTAAATTCAAAGCTTGAACAGTAATGCTTAATTCTATTTAGAAGAGAAAATGGCTTAAGTCAATTTATTTGGGTCTGAAATTTAATTGGATTATTTGTCTTGTTTGAATTTTTTTTTAGCTTTATATTGGATTTTAATGTTTTCTAAGCATGCGAAAAATTGACTTGAATGGGATAAGAGGAGTTTTAATTTTATGTTGAAAAATAGAGTGACCGAATAGGCCTAGTTAAAGGTATTATGATTTGTTAGAGAACCTGATAGGTAAAACATTTAATTTGAAACTTATGAATGCGAAACATTCAGAAATGATATTATGAAATCCAAACGCAAAGATAAAATTGAAATATTTGAAATGATAGGTTTAATTCTGCTAGGAATAGTTAATCGTATATTTTAAGTTGTAAGTTAAGATCTTCTTAGTAAAGATTGTATTCTTTAGATTTTAATTTAATAGAAAGCATTGGTCTTATTGCTAATATAAAATTTAACAAAGGTAAAATATGTTGTTATATCTCTTTAAGCAAGAATGAAGAAATGAAAGCTTGATAAAGAGTACTATAATAGTTAGACACTACGAAACTATCAAGTGAAAGTAATTGAAATTAACTTAGTGATATAAGTTTTATTCGATTATATATATATTAAAGCTTTTATTTGTTTGGTAATTAGCTATAGAAGCTAGTTATAATTATAAGTAAATAATGATCGTCATTATCATTCGAACATGATTATTATAAATTAATGGTTGAGTGTTGACATTGTTGTTTTGGAAGGAGGATGGGGTTTTAAATTGATTGATTGCCCGACGGATGGGCTGTGCGTATTGATGGATAAATATATATAATGTTATTGTGACATTTAAACAGGTAGATAATCCTATTTTTAGGGGAGATGCTGTCGAAATTTCGATAGAACCTAGATCAGTTTTTAAACCGTAGACTAGTTTTTAAATTAATAACATAATTATTAATAAGTTTATTTAGATTAATTCTATAACTTAATGCATAATAAATAGAGTTGCTCTAATTTATTTATTTGTTATCTTTATTATTCATTAATTATTTAATTATTTTCATTGTTTATTGTTTATTATTTATTACTATTTTATTGTTTGTTTATTGTTAATGGTATTTATTTAATTATTTAATTGCATTTGAAAATGGATGTCCATTTTGTGCATTGCCATTACGATGGTTCAAAGTGCTGATTCAATATGTCTGGCATTTGATTGCAATGTTTGATTAATTGTGTTGTGAAAAGCTATTGGCTTTGTTTGTGTGGATTGGGATGAAAGTGGACCCAACCAATGGGTTTTGTGAAAGGACGGTCTGTGATATGGATCCTTGAAATAATGATTAATATGTTTGCATTTAATTGCAATGCTTGATTAGTTGTGATGTGACAATGTTTTGCCATGTTTGTGTGGAGTTGGAATGAAGTGGGTCACCGTGAGTTTGTGAGGGCTGTGTACGAGACCGTTGGCAGTATGGGAGATTGGCGCCCCCTGTGCACCTGATATGATATGGATAATATGGATAAACCATAGGGTGGCCTCCTGTTGGTATGGAAAAGATAAAAGAGAATGGAAAAACAATGAGAGGGCTGGTCAAGTGAGGATTAGATTGGTTGGCCGTATGAGGGATCGACTCCCTAGTGCACACGTTATGAGAGGGTGGGCCATGTGTGAGGACGGCCCATTGGGGGTTTTGGTGACGCCACAGACCAATTTCCACATGATGTGATTATGCGAAGATGTTATTGAAGGTGATATTGTTTGTGAGTGCCGGTGACATGCCATTTTGTGTGACTGGCTGCGTGAGCATATACTAGTCGGATGACTAGATTGATATATATATATATATTTATACATTTGTGTGAATGTATGTGTTGTGCAATAATGTTACTCCTTAGAAAGCTCACATATCTTGTTTAATTTTCCAGGACGAAAGTTTCTCTTTAATTCGACTAAGCTATGTTCCTTCGTCGCAGAGTTAGAAAGCAGGGATATAAAGAAGTTTTTCCTAGTTCCATAATTATTTTGCTATGAAACTATATGTATAAGAAGCTATGTATATCAAACAGTGACTCCGCAGTTGTAGAATTTCCATACATTTAGTCGTGTAGTAATACAGATGAAGTAAATTCTTTTAGCCCATCTTAGAAATGTGTTGTATTGTAAATGGGGCTTGAACTGTGGAATGTTGAAGATGATAAATTTGGGCCGAGGTATAATAAAATGTTGAGGTATATCTTTTTTCATTAATATGGGCTGAATGTTTGAAATTTATACTGAGATGATAGATTTTAGTGATTCAGGCTTACTACGGGCCTCGGGGGCCTTAAGCTTACCTGGGCCCTAGTGCCGGTTCGGCCCATGGAAATGGGTCGTGACAATCGTGACAATATCTTAAAACGTTAAGTATAGAGATGAAAAGAAAATGGGGGTAGAGAGTAAGTTTTAAGAGATATAAGATTCGTTCAATGAGAGAAGAGAGTGCTCTTAAAACAAAAACTCTTACTTCACCAAATGTTTAAGGCGTGAACGTTCCTTTATATAGGAAACTAAGAAGCTGTCGCCTTTGGAAAGAAATTGAAATCAAAATATTTTCTTTCCTTATTTTAGAAGATATGAAAATCTTTGTTACCAAAAAAATCTATTTTATCCTTTTTGGTAAGAGAATAAAACACGATTTTCACTTTCCTTTAAATAAAAGATTCTCGACAGCGTTTATTTTGGAAAGACATAATTGCGGAAGAATGCTCTTACTAAAACCGAAAGAGATTCTCCTTCGTTTTTAAGGTAAGAAAATAATTTTTTTAAGTATATTAGATGCTTTCAAAATATATTTCCGAAAAGAAGAGTAATTTGTATTACCCAAAAACATTAAGAGAAGAAAATCTCTTTAGTTTTAGGAAAATAAATTTTTCCGATTTAAAGGAATATTTTTCGAAAATAAATTATTTGAAGAAAACTAATTTTCCGAAAAATATTTTTTGAAGAGAGAAAAAGATTTTTTTTGTGCTCATAATATGGATTTTCTCTCTATCCTACAAAGTTTCCTAAAAACCTAGCTACTAGGATTTTCCGAAATCTTCATACTTAATGTAGAGCTTGCGTAGAACTTGCCTTGTACGATTTCTTTTCAAAGAGATTCTGCATAAAATAAAATTAGCACAAATAGCATAATTTTAAATTTATTTGTTTTGAATTAATTATCAAAATTCGAGACTTAGAAATTGACCTTTGAGCCAACACGTTACCCTACTTAGCTATTCATAGCCACTATTCAATTCGGTCTTCTACAAGTACGATCTGATCACCTTTAAATTCATTCTTGAAGATCTACACTTTTTTTTTTTTTGTATAAGTGTTCAAATAACAAAATATTCTAGACAAAATCATTGTAATTGTTATAACAAACAAAATCCAAAGATATGAGCAACAATATCTCAGATCTATATCAAAGATACAAAATGAAGATTATTTAAAAAAATAAACAAAAAAGAGAAATGGTGACCATCGTTAGAGCTCACCGATGGTCTCTCGTGAAAAAAATTGAGAGAGAGCTTTTAAGTTTTGGAAGAATGAGTGTAATTTTCAATACTAACAATTTTGAGTACTCATCTCATGCAAATTTTTATAATCTGTATATATAATTAATAATACGGATCAACAAATTTATTATAATTTGTCAATTCACATTGTTTGAAATGAAGTGGTTGGAACTTCTTTTCCTTTAATAAAAGTTTCAAGTTTGAACTTTAGGTATAGAAATTATCCTACTATGAGATGATTTGTTGCCAAGATGATTTGCTTACGTTTCTTCTCTTCATATGAACCGATAATACTACATTCTTATCTTAACTATGTTACCCAGATGAGATAATTATCCATTTTTTTAAAATGATCAACTCATAAATATAATATACATTCTTAATATTGGAACACATGCCATCAAATAGGTAATATTTTAATTAATTCCTCATTTCTTAATCACTTTCACTTACAGAATAAAAAAAAAATTGATAAAAAGAAAAGTACCATCTGCAATTCATCAATTAATATATGTATGACAATTGTGGCAAGACAATCATTCATGTTATCAGTTCTAGTTGTTTTGACAATAATAGAACCTCATCATAAATTTAAATCGAAATTATTTATTTGCACCACCTCTTCTCCAGAAATTATTTATTTGCACCACCTCTTCTCCAGAATATAAATTTCAAATTAAAAATTTGGCAGGAAGAAGGGTGGAAGGTCTTTCATTAAGGCAATATCTGGATTTATGATTCTTAAATATAGAGATAATCACTATTAACAATAAAAGCTAACACATAAATATAGGAAACAAACATAACACATCACACATCACACATGACATCGACCAAAAACAAAAAGGCTAAAATAGGGAAACAAACATAAAAAATAATAAAATCTTAGTCCCACTCGTGCTTTTTTGGAATAAGAACAAGATCGTGCTTGTTATGGACAGTGGGACCACCAGCTTCTTCCATTGGAAAGTCCTCAAATTTCTTTCCATTAGGGAGCTCAAAATCAAACCCATATAAAAGATTAGCCAATGTGTATTTAACTGCTGTATGCTGTAGTACGCCATTGCCAGACGCAGGAACAAGTCTCTTCCAGCTCCAAATGGGAACCCAACTCAAAGTAGGACCCTCCTGTAATCAACAATCACTGTTCTCAAAATCTTTCTGGGTAAAATTCTTCAGGTTCTCCCACTTAGATGGTTCTCTTCCAATTGCATAAGCATTGATGAATATTGTTGTGCCTGGTAAAATGTCATACCCACCAATTTTGCATTTTTTGGTGCAAAAATGGGGGATCAGAAGTGGGAGTGGTGGGTGTATTCTGAAGGTTTCTCTTACTATTAATTCCAAGTATTTGAATTTATCAACATCTCTTCCTTCTACTCTGTTTTTATTTGGTCCAACAATTCCTCTTATCTCTTCTTGTACTTTTTTCATTATTCTTGGATTCTTTAGTATCTCATTATTCTTGGATTCTTTAGTATCTCTGTGAATGCCCATGCGGTTGTCACAGAACTTGTATCAATGCCACCCACAAAGATATCCTGCCAAAAAATATAATATAGTTTTAGAAGATTAGCCTGGAGATCCACAAAAAAGAAAGAACATTATTTGAACGAAAAATTGAATTTGATACCATGAGAATAGCCTTGAGATGGTCTTTAGTAAGTTGGAAAGAAGCACCTTGGTCTCTCATCAGCCCAACCAAGACATCAACAATATCTTCATGTTCAGGCTTAGGTCTATTTGGGTCCAGATGCCGCTCAAGAATTTAGATGCCGCTCAAGAATTTTCTGAAAATACCCATCAAGGTTTTTGAAAGTTTGTTCTCTTTTAGCAAGAGCACCAGTCAAAGAATCAATGAATCTTCCAGCACTAGGGAAAAAATCCTCCGCATGAAAATTGTTTAAAATATCCATAACCTTGTTGGAACTCCAATTGTCCATAGCTCCTTCCGAAAGCAACAGTACCCATAATACCATCAATCACGTTAAATATTAGCTCCGTAAGATTAACTGGATTAGGGTATGCATTTGTTAAAATATTGTTTAACTTGTCAATCTGCTCTTCTCTTGCATACCAGAACATATGCACTCTTTTCATACTCAAAAGCTGAAAAATAAACAACTTTCTCATTTCTTTCCAGTAATCAGAATATGGACGAAACGCAACATCCAAGAAATTATATGACAGTCTACGAGGCCCGACCGATGAAGGGCGACTGCAAGTTTCAAGATCATGGTCTTTTATGACTTCTCTTGAAGCCTCTGCACCAGAGATAACAACACCAGGTGATCTCCCTAATTGAACTCGCATGCCTAATTGAACTCGCATGACAGGGCGCATATTTTTGTGTTCCAAAAATCGTAGTACGGCCTGTCGCCTAACTGGTGAAAATTCGTAGTACGGCCTGTCGCCTAACTGGTGAAAATTGCCAATAATGGGGAGTCGTCTTGGACCTGGTGGTAGTTTAGGACCTTCAGTTCTCTTCTTGCTTTTGAAGAGAAAGAGGGTGAAAATTGGAAGAAGAAAGACTGCAAGAATTGGAAGCCATTGTTGGTTGAGAGAAATTAGATTTGATATAGACATTTCCTGTGGTTGTTTATCTTTTTGGTGTGGTTTTGATTTGAAAGTGGAGAAGATGAGTGAACCCTTTAAATAGTGCAGCAATGTAGTGAACCAGAGACTTGATATTTCTTTGAGGAAATATAATAAATATATTAATTACAGCACACGTTCTTTTCATTATTTAATATTTGCAGTTGTATCGCTTACCTTGTTACACGTATGATTTTTTATGGTTTTAATAGGCATCACCACGGTTTAATTCAAATCAAAACCGAATCATAACCGAGTTAAAATTGCCATCATACCGCAATCAATGTCATCCAATTTCAAACTATAATCAAAATCACATTTTCATTGTTTGGTTTCATTTCTTCATTTTCTAAAATTAGAATGCACGATTCTAATTTGAAACCATGAAAAATTAAATTTACAACCAACTCGTAATATTTTTTTTTATATTTTTTTAAATTAAATTTTAAAACTTTTATTATTAATTTGGTTTAGTTTGTCCAATATTAATATTTTATTATTATTATTATTATTATTATTTATTCAAAATACAAAACTAAAAAAAAATAATAAGTTTGAAAATGATTATCTAATTTCGGTTTTAAATCGAAACGACATCGAAATCGGTGATTTCAAAACTATCTTAAAGTTTGCCTTTAAAACTGAAACCAATGGCTCTGAAACTATGATCATAACTATGATCATAACTACCTCTCTCACTCTCCTCACAATAAGACTTGAACTCGAAACTTCTAACTCTTCACACTAGTGAAAAGACCAACCAGACTACACTTGATTGACCTAAAATCTTATATTTTATTATTTGGTTGAAAATAATTGCATAGATTTGAATGTTATCTTTAAAATAAAATTAAATGATTTAAATTCCATCATTCATATAAAAGTATGAAATTAATAAAGTTTCCAACTCTGAGCTGAGATTTCTCTCTGCCAAAACGATGAAATTGAAGTTATGATGAAATCTATCAATTTTATGAATTACTTTTTCTCAACCAAATAAAAAAAATCTAAGGAATCCGCATAAATGTTTAAATGTGTGTTTGGAACGGTACAAAATACCCCAGAAAGGAAAATAATTGGGTAAAATAATTGAGGAAAGTTATTTCTGCTGTTTGGATGATGTTAAGAAAATTGCAGAGGATGGAGAATTTGTACTGAAATCCTCTTGGGCTCGCAATTTTTCAATCTCTCCGAATCGGAGCCGAATCGGAGATAAAACAACAAAATTTTTGTGGAGATTTTCAATGTTTATACAAAATTACAAAAAAATTCATTTTCCTAATAAAAAAAATTCATTTTCCTATCTCCAACAATTAACTCCTCTCTCTTGTTTCCATGTCGCTGCCATTCTCCACAAATAGCAAATATAGAGGATGGAAATAGAAAAGAACCAAAATTTTATTGTTGATGCTTTATATTAAAAAAATAAATATCAATTTTTTTAGATGGTGATTGATGGTATTTAATTAAATTAAATAGTAATTAATTAAATATATTATTTTTATTTATCAAGTAAACTTGTAACATTATATACAATGTTAAGGTTAAAACTGTAATTATGCAATAGTAATATTTTTACTTCTTTTTTTACTATATTTTTTATTAATGAAATATGAGATATCTCAGCTTATTCTTAAAAAAAAAATAAAATCTTAGCTAATGGCTAGGAAACAAACTGAGTTTACTAACTCAGCTCAACTCTTAAGATTAATGAAATATTTATTTCATGCATAGAAGATTATTCAAACTTGAAGAAATCATTATTAATTTGTTTATAGTATGATCTCAAGTGTTAAATTTTGGTTAATAGAAATAAATAGGGCACGCTCTGAAGAAATCATTATTAATTCGTTTATATTTATTTCTCCAATTTATAGTTGGTGGTTGAATTCTTTCAATTTTGTGCAACATGCATGCGGACGGCAGGCGGTTAGATGAAACACTCTAATGTAACGATCAACCAATGCTAAAAAGTTAGTACTAACAAATTAACTGACTAGTTTACCACCTTTATATGCGCTATATAAATTGACTATTTAGTTGATGTGAGATTGTTACTAATTAGTTGGATAAAATCAAAAGAAATAAAAGATGATAAAAAATTTCAATTAAAATCAATCAACAATTACAGTTGATAGAAGTGTCAATCCATTGCCAATTCCATCTGCTTCGATTTGAAGTTGATACGAATTTAAAGTTTTTCGTATCAACTGCTAACTTTTTTGTATTTATATTTTATTTCGAATTCATTGGCCTTATAAAAATAATTATTTGTAAATTTCTTTTTTTTTAAAATTAGTATTTTTATAGTCATGTTATTTACAGTTATTCAATAATAATAATAACAATTTTCTATTAAAATATTATTTAAAAAATTAACTAATAATTTAAAAAATAACCTAATAATTTTATTTATATAATTATAATAAGTAAAAAATAATATTATTCACTTTAAAAATAAAATATATACACATAATGCATCATAACATATAAAATAATTATATCCTTAATAGTCATTTTATATTTTATTATCAACCACTGCTAAAACCGTATCAATTAACATTTATCAGCTAATCGCTATCAGCCATCAACCACTAGCTTTTAGCAGCCGCTATCAAATTTAGCAGGTGTAAATAGCTAAACCAAAAGACCTCTTAATTGTAATTTTTTTATTATCTTAAGAGGAAAATTTTTTTCTATAATAATATAAAAAGAATATAAGAGAATGACTATATATATCATTATTATTAGGCCAAAATTATCATTCTTTAATATAAGTTATTTGAGCCAATCAGGTATGGTATGATTGTCTTCTCATTTATACGAGCAATGAGAGGTCTGGAGTTCAAGTCTTTTTGACTATAAAAATTTTTACCAATCTGATGAATTAATGGTGAATTAAGAGTTTTTACCAATTTGGCGAATTAAGGGTGAACTACCTCAATTATTTAGCTCGTAATGTTAATTTCAGTCCATTAAACATGCGAGCGAATAAATTTGAAATTTTGAAGTTGCTAGACTATTCCTCTACGTATTCCTATTTGTTCAAAATTCTGTCTGCAAAAATTCCCGCTAGTTAGGCGGGCACGTTTTTATTTCTTAGACAGTTGGGCACGTTTTTATTTCTTAGACAGTTTCTCAATTATTTAATTTTGTCCCTCTTATTATGGAAAAGAATAAGCTGGTCCCTAAATCAAGATCTCTTTTCAAAAATTAACTATAAAATTCTTAATTTATATATTCATTAATACTTTGATTTTTCTATTTAGAACCAAAATATTAATGAAATTATAATTTTAACATCTCATAATCAGTTTGATTATAATTTAAGAATCAACTTCTCAGTGAATTGATAGTTAAAAATGCTATTTTAGAAGAAAAGATTAAAGCGTTAATAAAATTATAAGGAACCGATCTCATTGTTACTTTTTGAAAATATAAATTCTCACGTGTTAGTTATAAATTTGGGGATTAATTTTAATTTTTTTCTCTCCTTATTATTCAACTACCATTATTAATCTACACGATGTTTTTTTTTTTTTTTTTTTTTTCTTTTGCGACTCCTTTATCCATTTATAACTTGTTCTAACCAAACTCGTTTTTTTTTTTTTTTTTTTCATAACTTGGGCAATTTTTTTTCATAACTTTGGCAATTTTCTTGTCTTTCTTGTAGACAATTATTCTTGAATTATCACAAAATTAAAATGTTAAAACATGATTACAGCTTTGCCTATTTTTCCACTAAAAAAGAATAATATCCGCTAGTTAGGCGGGCACGTTTTTATTTCTTAGAGAGTTTTTCATCCGTCTCAATTACTTAATTTTGTCCCTCTTAAATTTCTCATCCGTCTCTTAAATTTGATTATTTCTTAGAAAGCAACTACGTAATTGATTAATTTCAACCTTTAGTCCAAACTTAAATAAGTTCAATCTCTTTTCATAGATTCTAATAATATAAAATTCAAAAAATATTTTAGAGGAAAATAATTGGTATTGAATTTATTATATATATATATATATATATTAAATTTCACAAGAACAATTAAATTTAATATTTATCAATTTTATTATAATATTAAATATCATTGATAAAATTGACTAAAAAAATAAAATAAAACTCATAGTTCCATGATAACAAAATGATTAATTATTTATATGTCTTTTTTTTTTTTTAATTTTCATTAACATTTATTAATTTTAAATCCCAAAAAAGAAGATGAAAATTTATATATTTAGCAACTGCTATAAATTAGTATTAAAAGCATTTTTACAATTAGAGTATCAAATGAAAGAAAATAAAGATATTTTAATACCCATATGTTAAAAGAATGTTTAGAGTGTGTTGGGATCAATGCTTCCACTTATCCCCTTATTTATTTTCACCACCGATGATCTAAGCTATTTTTCACAATATTTCATTGTATTATATTATCTAAGCATAAATATGCATAAGCAATAAATATGCAAACTTTGTTTTACAATGAATCCAAAAGAAGGGAAAAAATAAAATTAAAATTTAAGAAATTAAATTACCTATAATAATCTTAGTGAAAGTTTAGAAAATCCTAAAATATCTAGTTTCTGATCGAAATTGATAATAGTTGAGTTTTAATAATCGATAAATTTAGAGGTTTTATTAATACTACTTTTTTTTTTTTTATTCATTGATATTAAAAATATTATTATTTTAATATATATTATTCTAATTGAATTTTCCAAATTTTTGATTATTTACGAATATTAATTGTTTCAAAAAATAAATTATTATTTTAAATTTTAATTTTAAAATAAACTTCAAAATGCAAAAATATATATATATATATATACCTATAAAAGATATTGTTTCACACGTTTATATATATATCACTTTTAAAGTTTTGAATTTTTTTTATTTATTTTTATTTATATCTATTTATCTATATAGAAGTTTTCCAATTTATATGGTATAGATAAATGCAACATTTCAATTTTTTTTTTCTTTAGGCAACATTTTAATTTTTTTTTCTTTTTTCATGAATATTGGTTGTCAAAATATCATATACTATTAGATCATTTTCAATTCCTACAAAACAGGTTCTTCTATAAACATAAGAACCGCGCAT